AATATATTGTAAAAGGCGTAAGAAATTTCAGACTTTTTAGGCTTGCATTTCCTCAAATCAGTTGTTTCTTCCAACTTCGCGCATGCACACCAAATACCAGAAAGTTTTCTTTAAGTATATAGCCTATACATCCTTAATTATTTTATTCATGTGATTCAAGCATTTGTTTTATCACTTACATCTACTCTACATTTGTTCCATCTCAACCATATCATCTCCTTGTTACAGAATAACGCCCAGTGCATCCTACTATCCTTAAGAATCCTCTTTGCAAGTTCCCCCGATGAGTGAGAAATGTAAGACGAATTAATTCCTTGAGAAAAATTGAGACAGATGCAGGTTGATAAGGAAGCTGTGTACATATTTGCAGCCTAAGGATGCAGATACTTCTGGAAACGCCGACTTCGGTGAGTGATAGTTATACTTATATTTTTATTCCATTTTCACCGCGATTTCAAAGGAAAGAACGTAACGTTGGGATTTAAGAGAGATAAATTTTAACAGAAACGATGATCGAATTACGAAAGAGTGAGCAACTGATTATAATATTATTATGTTATGTCGACAAGCTTTTAAAGTCAAGGTTTCGCATATGAATGTATATGAAATGCGACGGGCGTTCGTCTCGCTTAGTCAAATTTGCAAGTACATTAACGTCGAAAGGAGGATGTTGATACAAAGTCTGCGCACCTTGAATACAAAACGCAATTCGCAGATCCCCGCCGTACATTCTCTAATTGAATTTTTAATTCACGCAATTCTTTTTAATTACGTTCGGGCGATCCTGCCCGATGGATGAAAATAATGTGCCGCGTACGATTTCGATTCGAGTTATTTGATCGTCGTCACGCGAACCGAAATCGGGGTCGAGAAATTTAATCGGTGAATCACGACTTTTCCTGTACGTGGAAATTTAAATAATCGAATACAGACAGACACATTTCGTAATGTTTTTAAAAACGATAAAGAGACCCGATGGTTTCTCGATGCATATTTCTTTATATTCAGAGAGCTACGTGACCATTTTAAGCAAATATTTTTTAAACGACGCACGTGTCGTTCTCCAATCTGCACTCTTTTGAATGTTTATCTACGTATACGCTCGGCTGTCGTATAAAACACCGTCTGTTTCCCATAACGTACAATACCTTTTTGTCCAACATGGTACACGGAGTATTTTTTATTTCTGTTTTTATCTTATCTGAAATTTCACGTCGCCTGTTTAAATTTTATTAAATCCGGCAGGAGATCCGTCTCTCTGTTGAGCAGCCTTTTTCCGTGACCCGTGTCCTCGTTGTGCCTCCACGTATAAACACACGTACGTTCACTATAGTTATGCTTCTATGCAATCTCTGTTGCTAGGCGCACCTCGGCCCACCGACAGTATTTTTAGATGATACGCTCACATTTCGACGTTCATTCTTGAATGAGAGTTCCCCGTTCGTAGACCCGTCCGGGACGAGCGGTAAGATTCTCCGGATTCCAATACCGACTGTTCTTAGAAATATACTTAAAAATTGTTTTTATATAGACAGTAGCGGCACAATGCGATAGGGAGAAATTGTTAGAAACTGTGTCAAAGCTTCGTACGTTTCTCGCTGACTTCTGATTTTGTTATAATATTGCTTAATTTATACACGTCATCATTCCACGAAAGAATTACAAAAAGACCGTAGAAATGTTGCTAAAGTATGTCGCGAAGAATAGTGCTTGCTCAGTTAATTGTAGTCGTTTATTAATTAGGAAAGGAACATTCACTGTGTGTATATGTAATTAGAATCGTTTATTGCATGAAGAAAATTGGTCAGTTAATTTTTATACAATTACGCCTGTAAGAAGGTCCCGGGGATGAAAGCCGGAAGTGACCTCGATTTCGTTATCGACTCACTACCGTGAGAGTTGTGTACGCAATAACAGACAACGCTCCTGCGAATGTTGATAATTTTTCGTTCTATCGCTCGTCTCGACGCGAGGCAATTGAAGTTTTTTTTAATTACTTGTGTAACAGATGGTATACAATTGTATAAAACGTATAAATAATTGTTCATCGTTCATGCGAATTTTAGATGCACTTTGGTAAAACGATAAGCCGGCTTAAAAGGAAACATAAATAGACTAATATATGTGTGGTTTGAAATTTTGAAAAGTTTGCAATAGAATGAAATATTTCTTTAGTTTCGTGATGGTAGCGACGATTAGTGGACGAGGAGGGAACTGAGAATGTCGGTAACCGGACCGATTGGCAGGAGATTCAAATTGACATAGAATTACGTAAATTCGTATGGATTTTGTTTAACCCAAGAATCGAAATATCAAATTCAGATACTGTATTAATCGCAGAAATGTCTCTCAAAGGATGCTCGAACTTAGCTGTTTCATTTCATTCACAAAAATGTTTAAGATCGTAGGCATCAATATTTTATTTCCTATAGTACAAGAAGACAGCTACTGACGTAAGACAATCGTAATTATTGCATGAACAATGAGAATATCTCGTAAAAGGGACGCTGAGATTTGATCACGAACCTGCAGTTGCCTCGTGAACCGGAAGTTAAGAGCACTGTGCCATCCTGATACCATTCTCCGCTGATTAGAACCGATAGACTACATCCTTGTTATAGAGCACTGAAACTACTTTATAAAAAAACGCGACAATTGAGATTTCTCTATGAAATCCACTCGAACGTGTTTCGACGTTGGCAGTACGTCATTACCTTAAACAGAAATTAAAGAATTATTCAAATGAATATTAGATTGCTTGAAGTATGTATAGACAGAAGTCTAGCACTTCGAATGACTTTAAGTAAATAACGAGGGCCTGTCCTGCGTGCAAAGTTTTTGCAGCCACTGCGTGTCTTTCCGTGACACCTTACCGACCGTTTTTTTCAATGATTTCTTCGATTCAAGGAGGAGAAAAGAAACGGAGCACGGTAACACGTACATAGTAGGGGAGGCGGGCCGTTATACACTGCGTGACTCTCTGCATTATTTTCGGGCCTTTCCTGTAGGAGAATCTTCTTCGGGTTCGGGGCTCTTACAAATTGCGCCGCGGGTGCAACGTACCTGTTGTTTACTACATAGCGGGTTCAAAGCCCGGTCAGTGCAACGGTCCTCCACCTTCCCTGCGCCTTCCTACCCTGCTCATCTTTCCGGCCCCACCATGCACGCTCCGGCGAGGATCATCCCACCCCCTGCCTTCTTCGTCGGTCTCTTCAAGTAAGGACAAAGCGGTAGTTACCTGTGGTTCGAACTCTTCGAGGATGCGCAACACGGGGAGCTCGGTTATGCCTCTTTGTAAAATACACGCTCCGCTCGTTCGTGTGCACCAACGTTCTGCCTCTCCTCTGTTCCGTAGTTCATTCGTCCCTTCCTAACTAGGCTGCTGGATAAGTTTTTGTCGCTAGAGTCTCTTCGACAACGATGCTCCCGTGCAGAGTCGATCGACAGGTTCACGGTTAAGTGCGCCGTGCGTCGCATATCGCGTTCTCCTATCTCCGTCGAGAGACGTTCATATCCACGCGTATACCGTTAATTCCGATGTACATAGACGCGCTCGTCTCTAGGACTGGTTACCAGCCAGCTTGTTTGTAAACATTTTCAGTGATGTGGGAAAGGTACAACAGACTATCGAGAGCCTAGGTCATCTACGAGAGTGGTTCGTTCGCTGTACCTCTTCGAGTTATCTTCGTTCCACGATCTCGAGGCAAAGAACCTCAGGGTCACGAAGGAAGGGTTGCTCGTTGTTGTTGTTGTGATGTGGCAACGAGAGAAAGGGTGGAGAAGAAGTTGAGCAGGGTTGATAGTGTGGTGAACCAGCGAGAGTGGACCAACCAATCCGGAGGGAGGCCGTACTACGGCGTAGTACTCCAGTGGGATCAGGGTTCAAAGCCCGGTCAACACCATGCCTATGGTTCTTTCTCCTCCTCGCTCCCCTTTCCACTGTTCCTCTTGTTCGTTCTCTCCACGACGGTTCCCTCTCTTCCTCTGGTGTTTCTCCCTCTCTGCTCCTGACTCTCTCGCTGTTCCTCGCTCGTTTCATGACCATCGCACACACACGCGTGTACCGAGCATCAGCATGGACCTTTCTCCTTTTCTTCTGTTTCCTCTCTTCCTTCTCTTGGGCATCGTGCTGGCTCGGATGATTCACCATCAGAGGTTCAAGATAAGGGGCCAATGAAAGGGAACCGTAGATGGCAGCTCCAGAGGAAGAATACACGCGTGCTCCACTTGCCGGAGGAATCGTGAAGATGAAAAATCACGAATCAGTCCTCACCAGCTCCCGTTTATCCCCCTTTCCGAGGTACTGCCACGACCACCTTCTCAACCTCTCGTATTCGAGATAGAAAAGCAACGTTTTTTCAGCCCGGATCCTATTAACAAGAGAACTTGCTACTCCAAATTACCTTATATGTGTATACTGTAGA